ATTTGGTATGCCTACTTCACTAATTAAGTGCTTTCAAACGACACCGAGGTCAATGACCTTGTGACCTTGACTGTAACCTTTATGCTAAGAATAGCTTTTTCGAACTTTGTTGCCGCCGGGGGCACAGTGTTTCTCAAACACATCTTGTTTTTTCTCTCAAGGTTGTTCATATTAATATTATACAAAGAAATGGCATATTCACACGTCGCCGTGTGGCGGAGTGGTTAGTGCACCTTCTCCAGAGTCGCAAAGTAAGGAGTTATTTCTTACTTTGCGGGTTCGAATCCCAATGTGGAACGTAGAGACCGGTCCTTCGGATGTCACCGTATAAATCGAGGATCCATGTCGCAGTAGGTGCCTGCACGAAAAAGATCCCTCAAGAGAGTGTTGTAAAATTCTTCCTTGACCTGATCGATATACAATGTTAGATAAACAGAAGTAAATAAAACATTCTGACAGAGAATAAAACTACCAAAAGTATCCTAAATATGTTGCTAAATCCCATGTTTACAAATTTTTCACTTCACTGAAGCTTTGACGTCTGAACTATGACGACATAAAGCCTATGTCTTTATTACCAAAAAAAAAAAAAAAAAAAACTGAGGAAAACTCAAAGAAAATGCAAATAAATAAAAGATATTCAATGTTTTGTAGTTAAATATGGAATTTATTTCACTCGAAAAAGAGGATTTTTGAATATTTTCACTCGTGCTTCGCACTCGTGAAAATATAAAAAACAAGAGGCCCATGGGCCACATCGCTCACCTGAGAAGCTTTGACCATTCTGTTCTTTACCAGATTTCACCCTTGTTATACATAATGCATCCCCACATTACCCCACTGATCATAATTTAGACATTTTGAAATCTACAATACCCCATGATCCTTCCATGGGCACATATGTTTCAGCTTTTTTGGCCCAGTGGTTCCTGAAAGAAGATTTTCAAAGATTTTTCCTATACATTTCTATGTAAAACTTTGATTCCCTATAATGACCCCGCCCTTCCCCCGGGGGTCATGATTCCTACAATTTAGAATTTACACTACCCCAGAATGCTTCCACATAAGCTTCACTTTTTCTGGCCAAGTGGTTCTTGAGAAGAAAATTTTCAAAGATTTTTCCTATATATTTCTATCTAAAACTTTGATTCCCCATTGTGGCCCCGCCCTTCCCCCGGGTGTCATTATTTGAACAATTTAGAATCTACATTATACCAGGATGCTTCCACATAAGTTTCAGCTTTTCTGGCCCAGTGGTTCTTGAGAAGAAGATTTTCAAAGATTTTTCCTATATATTTCTATGTAAAACTTTGATACCCCATTGTGGCCCCGCCCTTCCCCTGGGGGTCATGATTTGAACAATTTAGAATCTACATTATACCAGGATGCTTCCACATAAGTTTCAGCTTTTCTGGCCAAGTGGTTCTTGAGAAGAAGATTTTCAAAGATTTTTCCTATATATTTCTATATAAAACTTTGATTCCCCATTGTGGCTCCACCCATCCCCCCGGGGGTCATTATTTGAACAATTTATAATCTACATTATACCAGGATGCTTCCACATAAGTTTCAGCTTTTCTGGCCAAGTGGTTCTTGAGAAGAAGATTTTCAAAGATTTTTCCTATATATTTCTATGTAAAACTTTGATTCCCCATTGTGGCCCCGCCCTTCCCCCGGGGGTCATGATTTGAACAATTTAGAATCTACACTATACCAGAATACTTCCATATAAGTTTCAGCTTCTCTGGCCAAGTGGTTCTTGAGAAGAAGATTTTCAAAGATTTTTCCTATATATTTCTATATAAAACTTTGATTCCCCATTGTGGCCCCGCCCTTCCCCCGGGGGTCATGATTTGAACAATTTAGAATCTACACTATACCAGGATGCTTCCATATTAGTTTCAGCTTTTCTGGCCCAGTGGTTCTTGAGAAGAAGATTTTCAAAGATTTTTCCTATATATTTCTATATAAAACTTTGATTCCCCATTGTGGCCCCGCCCTTCCCCCGGGGGTCATGATTTGAACAATTTAGAATCTACACTACCCCAGGATGCTTCCACATAAGTTTCAGCTTTACTGGCCCAGTGGTTCTTGAGAAGAAGATTTTTTAATGACCCCACCCTATTTTTGTCTTTTCTTGATTATCTCCCCTTGCGAGGAGATATGTCCCTTCATTTTAACAATTCAAATTTCCCTTTACCCAAGGATGCTTTGTACCAAGTTTGGTCAAAATTGGCCCAGTGGTTCTTGAGAAGAAGTCGAAAATGTGAAAAGTTTACAGACGGACAGACAGACGGACGGACGACGGACAAAATGTGATCAGAAAAGCTCACTTGAGCCTTCGGCTCAGGTGAGCTAAAAATCCCGTCCCACTCGTGAAATAAATTCCATATTCAACAACTAAACATTAAATATCCTCTATTTAATTCCTCTCTAAACAGTGATATCAACAATCTCGTTAAATGAAATAAAAAGTGAGCAAGCTTACATACTCCACGCTCCCCCCAAAATTAAAGTGCAAAAAGTCCCCGAGAAAATAAAGGAATCGGAATTTCATGGTTATATTCACAACTACACATTGTGTAATTGTCTGCAAAGTTTGACGAAATTCTATTGAGCGGTTTATGAGAGGTTGCGCTGACAAACTGTTCATTTCTATATTCAAGATATGGAAAAAAAAAACTAAGTTAAAAATTGCTGAAATTTCCAGAAAAATAAAGGAATCGGAATTCCCCGGTAGTATGCACATCTACACATTGTGTCCTAAATCTATGCAAAGTTTGAAATTTAAGGTATGTGTCCCGTGCAGCGGTTTATGAGGAGTTGCGCTGACAAAAAGACAGGACTGACACACTGACTGACGGACGGGTCAAAAACATTATACCTCTTGCAACTTGTTCGTGGGGTAAAATAAATTCAAGACATCGCAAAAACTATCGCTTCTTACCTTTCATGCATGGTCTGCAATCATGGCGTGCACTACGTATTCTGGCCTCCCTTGTGCTCTGTTTTTTTTCCAATTTGAAACAGAAAAGTGCATAAGGACTCTTAATTAAGATTGATAACGTTGCAGTTTACCATGCACAGGACACATATCTTGCTTCGGACAACTTTAAGCTTTAAACTTTCTTTAAACCTAAGTGTTCCCGTGGTTTTATCTGTTTCTTATGTATAATTTTATTGATGCCGATGATTAACAATATGTTGTGAAAAATATCAAAGAATGGCCTTGAAATTACGTCATATTCCACGAAGGAATGTTACCAGAAACTTTACGATCTTGTTGTAGTTCTTTTAATTAGACTTCAACGGAATAAGTCGGACTCGCATTAAATTGATCAAAGATTGGTAAATTTACAGAACTTCTACATAAGTTTCCTAGTATGTTCATTTCGCCGATCGTCGCAATCCACGGCTAAAGTGTACAATCCTCTCCCTTGTATTCCGCAACCGAACCGTGGCTTGAGACGATGGATTTCACCGAATATCGGATACAATTTAACCATGCATTGGACATTTAACGACATTAATCGCTTCCCTTTTTTCATATAGATTGCAACTGACTCCTTATTTCAGAAATAAAAAAAAACTTTTAATTATGAACGAACATACAATTTATCAATATATAGCGTCTGGAAGTGGACTCAAATTATTTCTTCAAACTACAGATTGATAAACCAAGAGAAAAAGGCGCGTATTATTATATTTATGTTTCCAAACGAACGTAGTTTGGGAACATATATGATATTGAATTACTCTGTTTCATATTATTAAAATTTATTTTAGCGGAACTGGAATTTTACTATATACTATAGTAAGTGGTAATCCAACTTGCAGTTATAGTTCACTTACTAAGATAGAAATTTTTCAAGTGCCAAGTTTAATATATTTCTAGCATTCTCAACAACCAAATTGAATTCGAAGTACCATACTCGTACACTGAATTCCGAAACTAATTAACAAAATTCACCTTAATTCCACTGTCAACAGTGAGCACAGGACACATACCTGGCTTCGGAAAACTTTAAGCATTAAACTTGCTTTAAACCTTAGTGTTCCCGTGTTTTTATCTTTTTCTGATTTATATTTTTTATTAATGCCGATGATTATCAATATGTTGCATGATAAAAATATCACAAGAATTGAACTTACCTTGGTACGTCATATTTCAAAAGGAGAGTAACCAGAATTTCACGATCTTGCCAATTTTTGAAGTTGTACTTCTTTTAATTAGACTTCAACGGAACGATTCGGACTCGGATGGAATTTTTCAAAGATTGGTAATTTTACAGAACTTTTACTTCTACATAAGTTTCCTAGTATGTTCATTTCATCCATGGTCGCAAACCACGGCCAAATGCACGATCCTCTCCCATGCGCACTCCGAACCGTGGCTTGAGACGATGCATTTCACCGAATATCGGATACAATTTAACCATGCATCGGACATTTTACAATATTAATTACTTCCCTTTTCAAAAGAACCCAAATTACATCTTTTTTGCAGAAATAAAAAAAACACAACTCTTAATTTTCAATGAAAATACAAATAAGTTATCATTATATGACGTCTAGAAGTGGACTAGAATTATTTCTACAGACTACAAATTGATAACCATGCAACGAGGAATTGGCGCGAATTACCATACTTACGTTGGCGAACAGATTGTTTTTACTCTGTTTCTTATTATAAAAAAATATTTTAGAGGAACTCATTTGGGATTCCACTTTATAAGTGGTAATCCAACATGCACTTCTAGTTCCCTTACTAAGAAAACAAGAGACCCAGCTGGGGCCACTTTGCTCACCTGAGCAATGACTAGGAAAAACATAAAAGAAACTTTGATTGACCATTGTGGCCCCACATGACCCCAGGGTCACGCTTTAAACAATCTTGAATACACACCACCTGAGGATGCTTCAATATAAAAAAAGATCAATCATAGCTTTGCTGTTCTTGAGAACATTTTTTATTACGTATATAATTATATGTAAAGCTTTGATCAACCATTGTTGCCCAGACCTACCTCCGGGGGAGTCATGATTTGAACAAACTTGAATCTACACCACCTGATGATGCTTCCATATAGATATAAGCAATCATGGCTTTGCTTTTTTGGAGAAGATCTTTAAAGATTTCCTCTATACATCCTTATGTTTAACATTGATCGTTCATACTTATCATGGCTTTACTGCTCTTGAAAAGAGGATTATTGAAGATTTTCATATTCATTCCTATAAAAACTTTGATCGACCATTGTGCCCCCACCCTACCCCCGATTTAAACAAACTTGAATCAACACCACTACTGTGAGGATGCTTCCACATGAGTTTCATCTTTCTTGGCCTAGTGGTTTTTGAGAAGAAGATGTTTTTCAAAAATGCCATTAGTTTTCCAACAATTCATATATATCTCCTCTTGGAAGAGGGCAAGGCTGAAAAAACTTGAATCCCTTTCATTAAGGATACTTTGTGGCTAGTGTGGTTTAAAATGGCTAAGTGGAAGATGGAAATGTAAAAAAAAAAGGTTAGGACAACGGCAACGATAGACAATGGACAAAATTTGATAAAGCAAAGGAAGAAATTGAAAAGATTTGCTTTCAGACTGGAGGAACATCACATACAGCTACGATAATTAACAAAACCACCGTTACAATGAAGTTCATTATTTTGAACAGCCAAAAGAAGAAAACGTCCAGAAAAACGGACACTTCTTTACACTGGAACGGAAAATCTAACTCTGTCTGGACCGCAGGAATTTGTGAGTGATGTCTCATCATACGCTTCAGTGATTTTCTTCCTTCATTGGTTTGTGGTAATTCCGTTTTGTCTTCTATGGTGTCAAGTTGGTGTAACTTTGAGTCTTTCACCTTCTTGCTTTTACAGTTAATTTTGAGTAGCACACTGAATGTGAAACGTTGAAGCCATTTTGGTACGTTTGATTGGTCAGTGTTGAGATAGAGACGGAGGTTTAACACTGTGATGAATATACCTAGTGCGGCCATCATCAGTATTATGGATATGTAAATTCCTGTCCAAAACAAAATTAATGTTCATTTATAAAGCACCCTGAAGATATGTGAATGAATTAATGTGAATTAATGAATGAAGTTATCAGAGTCACTTGCTTAATAACATATATTGCATTTTTTTGTCACACATTGTTGTATAATATGCATTGTTGGTCATGCTTTAACATTTGAACAATTTCAACAATTTAACAATTTTGATACTATTTTTGGGCAAATAAGAACAAAAGTTGCAAATTTTACGATTTCTGTTTGTTTTGGGCTTAAGTCTTTTGAGAACAATATATATATAATTTATTATTCAGTGTTCCTTATCATGTTACTCCTCGACATAAAGACAAGCTACATGTATAAGTACATTAATGAATACAGTGTCCTTGCAAAACTGTTTCAGATTCCCAGTTCTTGATTGGTCAAAAGTGAACAAAGCTGAAGAACCCAATAGTATTCAGATTAGCATTAAGGCCCTTTGTTGCTTTGAAATGAAAGCATAGGAAAAACAACGATATCTGTTCCAAAACTTTTTTTTCAAACATGAAATGGAGCGAATTAATGTTTTTTTTAAACGGGAGGAGTTAACCTATGATAGGAGTATGTTCACCTATGATAGGGGTATGATGACCTATTGTAGTAGTATGTTTACCTATGATAGGGGTATGTTGACCTATAATTGGAGTATGTTTACCTGTGTTAGGAGTATGTTGACTTATGATAGGGGTATGTTTACCTATGATAAGGGTATGTTTTCTTATGATAGGGGTATGTTGACTTATGATATGAGTATGTTTCCCTATGAGAGGAGTATGTTTAATTATGATAGGGGTATGTTTACCTATGATAGGGGTATGTTGAACTATGATAGGAGAATGTTGACCTATGGTAGGAGTACGTTTACTAATGATAGGAATACTTTTTACCTATGATAGGAGTATGTTTACCTATGATAGGAGTATGTTTTGAGGCAGCGGGCATGCTGTCTCCGACAAGCATCAGTAACACTACCAGAGCTAACAGAACTGTCAACGTGTAGGAAATCTTCTCTCCGGAGTCCGTTGGTAAGAGGAAACTTAAGTTTGTCAGCAGAGAAATCAGTATCACAGGGTATACAGTGTTGGTCAGGTAATACCATGGGCGCCGTTGGAAAACGATCTGGAACTCCAGCTCCGAAAATGTCTCACCATTTTCTTCCAATACCCACTCCTCTACTCGTGATGAGTATAAGATCCACTCCCCATTTTCGTTAAAATTCTCCGTATTGACCTTGTCATGGCTTTTGTTTAAAGTCAGTACCTCTGTTGTGAAGGCAAAACTAGTGACTTCAATCTTACACATTTGGTAGTCGAATGGAAAATACGCAATGTCAATATCGCAATGTGTAATAAAAAGTCCCGGGGGGTCCCAACGTACCTCTCCAGTATTCTTCACTCTGAAGAATATTTCGTCATTGCCAATTGGATCCATACCTCCAACTCTTGCAAAAAAATAAAAATGAGTTCTATGAATTAGGCACAGAGTATCAAAATATTTGCAAATAATCTTTTAAGACAAATTTCCAAGTCGAATACAGTTGATATTACTAAATTGTGCTGGAGCAGTTAAAACATTTATTAAGACAAGCTTTAATATATGGAAAAAGATATTTGTTTATTATTTTAAAAGTAAAGCAGTTAGTCCTGTATTAGAATTACACTTACGAGTTGTCAATGATAAGTTCTGGACGCCATATTTTGTCCTGTTTAATGTATATGTATTCTATATCGCCGTTTGAAGCTTTTGACCATACAAGGCGAGGATCTTCCCATTTCTACAAGTAAAAGATTAACCAAAGTTCACAATCATTTGAAAAGTCTCCTGCATTCAGGGAAAAGGGTTAAAGAAAAAAATAACAAGCGTATTAGTTCACCAGAATCCCCCAGACGATTTCGTTCGTCGTCGTGCGTCGTTTTTAAACAGTTTGTCAGATTTAAAAAAAAAATGCCGATTTTGTTATTCATCTCATTCGGGCCTGAGAAATGTGAAAAAATTCTTCAAATATCTGGACATCAAAGTCTTGCTAAAAGAACATAATCAAATAATAATGTAATACATATTTATTATCGATCATAGCATTAGCGAAATGTTGACTTAAAAGAGACTGTTTATATCCTTGTATCACCAACTTATCTGTCAGTAGCTTGTCTCGTTTTAATAATTGTTCGTACGTAGAGGATGCACATGTGTTCACCGAATATAAGGAATTTAATTATAATCTTTTACATTGATCATTAAGTTTGGTTGTCAGGTTATGGCGTGTAAAACGTTGCTTTATTCGATAATCTTGTGATTTGTATACAAAGTCTTGTGAAGTATGTTTAAAAACTTGTGATGTATATGCAAAATCTTGTGATGCATATCCAATTCAGTATCTTGTGATGTGTGTTCAAAATCTTGTAATGTGTATTCAGAAGAGATGATTTAGACAGACTGGTAGAAATTTAAATACTGTACGTACGACTGTCATCCAACCGGAAGTGGACATAGTCTGACTTTTCATGTCCTACAAAATAAACAACATCAAGGTACTCCTATTCATTAGCATGATCAGTTCATAAAAAGTCAATACTTTTAATGTAAATATATATTACAAATATACCAGATCATTGAGAGAGAAAAGGACAAATTCAATGCTGGTGTTTGTGACGTCAGAGGGTCTCACATATTTGTTGTAAGAGGGACCAAGAACAGCATTATGGATGTTTGTCGCATCTGTTGTTGTGTACGCTCCTAACGAACCTGTAATGTTATAGATCTATACACGTATTACATTTTGTAACGTGATATTAAAGTAATTTTACATAATTATATGTGTATATCATTATACAATTAATGTATATTATTTTGGAAGTTAGCAAGATTTCAGCTGCAGTTTCCCAAGAGTCCCGGCCTTGAGACCATAAACTGAGAACAGACTTTAAATAGTAAAAATTTTGAGTTTGAATATCTTGTTGTTTATAATACATACGTTATCTAAAAGAACAAGGTATGGTTTCCATACAAATTTTGCCCTGTGATTTAATGAAATTGGTGTAAAAGTTGAAAACTCATGCTTTTTAAATAATTGAAATTCAATGCAGAAAAATCATACAAATCATTTTTCTCACATGTGTTTTTAAATGCTAATTATGACGTCATAAACATGTGTATTTTCCCGTATTTTCTTAAAAAGTTCCAGAAGACACCAATTTTCAATGGAACTTTCTTTCAGATTACATTGTCCACAGGCATCGCCCACAAAGATCTTGAGATGTGAGATTTGTTATTATGTTCCCCAAACGGAGTTTGGGAACATATTGTTTTTACTCGGTTTCTTATTATTAAGGTCTTCCGTTTCCAACGGAAGACCTTATTGTTTTCGTTCGGTTTCTTTTTCCCTATTATTATTCTTTTTTTTTCTTACCGATTTTGTGCACGCGAGTTCTCGGGAATGGCTCGACAGATTTTCACCAAACTTTCAGATCTAATAGATATTCATCTGAACCTTGTCGGAAATTAAAGTCGTCGATGACGTCACTTCCAGTCGTGAGATATGGACGATTTTCCTATTTTTTGGGGGGGGGTCGGCTTGTCCTGGAAACTCCTCCGGAACCACTGAAGATATTGACTCAAGATTTTCAGTGAAAGTAAAGGAAGGTTTGCTGAGTTGCAGGCAGGCGTCCAAACAGCGCAAACGGCGCCGATGCTCGGTAGAGCCAAAAATATGTCTCAGAAATATCTCACAAAATATGACACGTTTTGTTTCATATAAAATAATTTGTTCAAACATTTTGAAGAAAAGTTGTGCATTTTTACAAGATCTTTCATTTGAAATCAAGAAAAGGGGGCTGACCCTTCAAATCAGGGGCTCAGAGGGGCTAAAAGTCTTTCATATATATCTCTTAAATGATCAATATTTTGTAATACATTACAGAAGCAAAGATATTTATCTTAACAATTTGCAACAATATATTGTAAAATTTTGTTCATTTGTTACGTAATTAGGGTCACAAGGGGCCAGAATGTTAAATCTTTGACGGCTTGTATCTCGAAAAGGGGGAATATTTTAATAAGCGATATTGAACAAAAGATGGTCAGTATAATGTTCTAAACAATATGCATACTTTGAATTTGTGAAAATTGGCCCCTTAAAGGACTTGGAGAGCTGGCCCCTAAAGATTTCCATTCAACATTTCTCCATAACAGAAAGTAATCTCTGAATAAATGTTGAACAAAAAGTCTTCAAAATCACAAAACCTTTCATTTGAAATCACAAAAAGGGGCTGACCTCTAAAATCAGGGGCTCAGAGGGGCTAAAAGTCTTTCATTTATATGTCTTAAATGATATTTTGTAATACATTACAGAAGCAAAGATATTCATCTTAGCAATTTGCAACAATGTATTGTAAAATTTTGATCATATGTTACGTAATTAGGGTCACAAGGGGCCAGAATGTTAAATCTTTGACGGCTTGTATCTCGAAAAGGAGGAATATTTTGATAAGCAACGTTGAACAAAAGATGGTCAGAATAATGTTACAAACAATATGCATCGCTTGACGATTAAAAAAAGATAGTCCTATTAAGGACTTGGAGAGATGACCCCTAAATATTTTCATTCAAGATATCTCTTCAACGAAAAGAAATATGTGAATAGGTGCTGAACAAAAGATCTTCAAAATCACGAGACCTTTCATTTGAAATCAAGAAAATGGGACTGGCCCCTAAAATTAGGGGCCAAATCACGTTCATGTATAAGTATTTGATATTGTTGAATAAATCAAAACAATTTAATCAAGTGAGAGATGTTTTGATATCATTATTTTGTAACAAAGATCATAGTCAAAATCATATCTCATCTCATCGAAATATATACTCGTTGCTCGCAACGAGATCTCATCTAGTTATTATTCTTTTTTTTCTTCTTTGTTCTCCGGTACTTTTTTGTCCGCGAGTGTTCTCAGAAACTGTTCACCCAACTGAGCTAAAACCTTTTTAGGGTTAATAGGTGTGTAGTGTAGGTGTGCAACACGAAGGTTATTTTGCGCGCATACGCATGCACGTGCGTGCGCGTGAAATGAGTGAATTGACATTATGTGATATACTTAATATAGCTATTACATTTACATTTTTTGATGAAATGATTTGAAACTCATTATATAAAGATATATTAATACTGTAGATAATGTGACACTGTCAAATTAGCACGAACTCACGCGCATGCACGTGCGCTTCGCTCTGATTGGCTGAAACAAAAAGCTCAATATCTTTTCTGTTTTTTGACGAAATGCTATGAAATTTAAAACTTAGGCATACTTTAGGATGTACTACAATATGATATTTAACAATTGTCTTGTAAGCACGCGTATGCACGTGCACTGCAATCTGATTGGCTTAAACTTTAAATGGCTGTAACTCCTTTGTTTTTCAACCAAACAGTATGGGATTTAGAACATAGACAGACATAATGGACTCCTACAAGGCGGTGAAGTCGTCATGCACATGCATGCACATACATGCACTTGTGCTTTGCTGTGATTGGCTGAAACAAAAATCGCAATATCTTTTCCGTTCTTTGACGAAATGCTACGAAATTTAAAACATAAGCATACAATAGGATGTCCTACAATATGATATTTAACAATTGTCATTAAATCACACGCATGCACGTGCGCTGAAATCTGATTGGCTTAAACTTTAAATGGTTATAACTCCCTTGGTTTTCAACGAAATAGGATGGTATTTCGAATATTGATAGACATAATGGACCCCTACAAGAAGGTATGGTCATCATGCACATGCTTGTAACGTGAAATGAGTAAATTAAAAATATGCTTGAATAAGTGTATTTTTTAATACTTCTGGATTTAATGCTTTGATATTAAGTCTATTTGAATATATATACATAGTGTAGTAAAGATGATATGATCATAACCCACATGCATTCACATGAACTCGCATGTAATGCTAAAATTTAAATATATTTCGTTGTCTTCTGGGAAAACATTGTTTAAGTCTAAATTGCACAAAATATGTCTTATTTGATAGAGCTTAAGGAAATATGGCACCAAAAGGGAGTTGGGGAGCGTTTGGGGAACATCTGTAACGGTCCCCGTTACAATTAGCCCTAGTTGAATTTTGCACAAAATATCAAAAAATTAACGTGGGTGACGGCTGTGGACACTGTTTTCTAAAGGAAAATCACCCTTGAAATGTGCCATTTTGAGGCTTTTTCAGTTGAAAATAGAGAAATGCTTCACATTAATGACGTCATATTTGCAGAATGGTATACCTTCATGCTATATATTCTTTCCTGATTTATCACAGTCATATATTTAACAAATATTTAAGCTAATATCAAAACTTTTTGATGTCATTACATTTTTAAAGGGCAATAAAGCTCAAACCACACCTTCTTCTTTGCTGGTTTGTATAATATTTCAATTTAAACGTATGATATACATTTTGTTTTGTTATCAAAATTATTTCAAAAGTTACATTGATTGGCCTCGTCGAGGGGACATGGAATCATGCTAACTCCCTAATGATCATATACATGTACTTTTAAACTGTTGTATTTTACCGAAACAAAAGTAAAATTAAGAGAATCACTTATTAGCTTTCAAAACAGAGATTAGATCACTTGACTAATACACGGGGATTAGTCCATTCACATTTTATTTTAATAAAAAGTAAAATCAAGTGGATTTCGGATAATCGGGAAATAGTGTTCAAAGCAGGGATAAGAAACTAGTTCACTTGACTAACGCATAGGGGTTTGTCCATTCACATTGGTTTCTAAGAAATTATACATTGAAAAATTATTAGAGGTAAAATGAACATATTTATACCTTATCTATTTGGAACAGATTGATTAACTAACATTCTTAAAATAATTTTTAAAGATTGATTTCCATAATGCATTAATACCTTTATGCATTATCTTACCTTCAGAAACGCAATGAATGAATATCATCAGAAATATACCTCTCATCATGAACAAAATCTGCAAAATGTCATATTCAAATCTACAAAAAAGTTATAATTAAGTTACCCGGAGAAACATTAACACAAGGATTACCAAATCAAGGGACTTACCCCAACATTTCAACAAGGATGTTTGCACATATCACATCGATATACTCAGTATATCGATGTGGGGGACACATATTAAAAATTAGAAGTTAGAATATTTTTTTTCAAGGTTGTTCATATTATAAGAATTAATAACATTTTTACAAAATATTCCTTAACTGAATTAGAAAGAAAAAATCCATACAGGAGATCCTGAAAACTTGAGTAGGCCCGGAATAAGTGCTATCAATGTCATTATGTTCTTTATATTAATTTAGCAAAGAACACTGTCAAATTTGGTCATACTTTTAAATCACCGGATCATTTATTTAAAGGATCTATCACGTAAGAAAAACTTATTAAACTATCAAATTAATATACGTTTGATAAATGGATTCGTGTGCATTTTAAACATTTTTGTTAAACTTAAAAAAAAAAATCTCATAATCTTCACATTATCATATATGGAGAAAGCGAACAGTATTCAATCCCATAATCCCTTTCAAACAATACAAATCAGGAGCAGAGCAAATAGTTTTTTTAACAGCAGAGAAAAGATAAGGTGCGCCATGATGGAGTGATGTCACCTGCTGAACGGTCACTCTCGCCGTTAGCTGCAGAACTGTACTCTCTGCTTGAGAAAATTCTGACAGATAAAGCAGAGAGCTACAGATCCATGCGTTGTAAAAACCTTCGATTTACGCCGACGATTTTTTGTCGCTCACTTCGAGTATTTTTTCTTGTATTCAATATTTCACCAGCTCTAAAAATGGTATTTAATAATCATGCATTTAACTTCAATTCCTTATAATTTACTTACCTTTCAACGCTAACAAATTGCTGTTTGTGGTTACGGACGTCGAAATGGAACTCTTTTAAACCGACATTACAAAACTATATACAGGACTCTTTCCGACCGTTAAAAGGTAAATAAACTTTAATAAAGTATCACAAATAAGAGTTAAATATATGATTAATTATAGGGTGCAATTCTAAAAGCCAGAGAAATAAATACAAGAAATAAATACCTAAAGCAGCGAGAAAAAAAAATCGTCGGCGTAAATCGAAGGCTTTAACAATGCTTGGATCTGTAGCTCTCTGCTTTATCTGTCCGAATTTTCTCAAGCAGAGAGCTACAGTTCTGCAGCTATCTCGCCGTTTGCTCTTTGTCATGATCGTGAAAAACGACCAAAAAACAAAACAAAAACCCAGATAAAACAATCATGAACACATGAAAATATGACCAAAAAAGAACAGATTTTTTTATTGTGTTTTACATGTTTTTTTTCATTTGATTTTGTTGGGATTTGTCTTTTGTCGAAATAGTTTATTTTCACAGTTTGCGTTGGGATATCAGCAATATTATTCAAATAAAAGTCACTCTGATTCAATACACAAATACTCTGGTTGTTAATTAAAGGGTACTGAAGTTCCTCGATAACAACATTTACGCAATCCTCGGAGATAAAGTCTTTCAACAAACCTCTGGAACTAGGATGGGAACTAATTATTCTCTTTTATTAGCCATGCTATATTTATATTTCTATGAAGAAGAATATATTTAAAATCTTCCACATGAAGAAAACACTATAAGTCGCCTTCAAATCGACATGAAGATAAATCGGCACGGCATTTTATTAACAGTTATTTCCATTCATAAATCAGCTCAATATATCACAGTGACTTTAAAACAAAAAACTTTAGATTTTAGACGATAACTTTTCCTATCAACTTTCCGCTATCACCTGCGTATAATGTTTATGTCTCTAAACTTATTTGCCACTCTAAAGCATCGCTACTCTAAGTACGATCAATGTCTAAACAAAGGCAAGCTATTTCCTGTCAGTGGGCCGTAATTTGGCTGACTTGTTCTATAACAATTGTTAGGCCATTTTTTGACAACGGAATTTTTCTGTCCACCCGATCAACACATAGGGCTCACGGCGAGTGTGAACTATTCAAAGGAGATGTTTACTCCTCCTAGGCACCTGAACCCACCTCTGGTATTTAAGGAAACCGTTGTTTATGTTGATGTCCCGTTGACTCCATTAACTGAGCCTAATATAAAGGGTATTTGCTGCATGTTTTGTTGTTGGATATAGAATAAATATCACGAATGAGAGAAAAAGATTGAGATATGATGCTTTGTTAATGTTCAAGTTCGAAACACGACAAAAAAATTTTAAAATTCGTCTTACGAGTTAAATAATATGAATTTCATATCCACCTACAAAAGACTGAATCTTTTGCCCAAGCTTTATTACATAGCGCCATTGTGACCTCCTATTTTACTTTATGATCTGTCACTTATTTTGGTTCTGCCAGGGCAAAACATATGGGCGGCGGGGGATATCATTAAGTAAGCTCTTTGCTCACAGTACCTTTAGTTTTTATACTCAAAAATATAATTTATTAGTTTTGAAAAAAAATATTTTCGGATAAAATCTGTCAGGTTGTCAAGATTAAAAAAATATTATTTATCATTATATTCCGCCTACCCTATTAATACTTAGAGCACATGGAAATCACATGAGATTCTTCTGTTTAAATACACTCCCAGTTCCCTTACTACAAAAAAAAAATCTTCAAGTGCCAAGTTTAACATTTTTAGCAAAACAATCAAATTGAACTTGAAATACCATACCTTCATTGGATTCCGAAACTAATTAACAATTTTACTTTAATTCTTCTGTGAACAGTGATATCAGTCTACTAATCTCGTTAAACAAATTCAAGATACAAGTATCGCAAATTCTATTGCTTCTTACCTTTCATGCATGAAGTCTGTAATCATGGCGTACACTACGTATTCTAGCCTCTCTGGTGCTCTATTTTTTTTCAATTTGAAACATAAAAATACATAAGGAGTCTTAATTAAGATGGATAACAATTGATTCTAGAGTAGGTTTACCATGCACAGGACACATACCTTGTTTTGGACAACTTTAAGCATGAAAACTTTCTGTAAACCTGAGTGTTTCCGTGTTTTTGTCTGTTTCTGATTTATACTTTTTATTGATGCCGATGATTATCAATATGTTGTGATAAAAATATCACAAGAATGGCCTTGAAATTACATCATATTTTACAAAGGAGAGTAACCAGAATTTTAAGATCTTGCCAATTTTTGGAGTTGTAGTTCTTTTAATCAGAACTCAACAGAACGAGTCGGACTCCGATGAAATTTGTCAAAATTTGGTAATTTTACAGAACTTCTTCATAAGTTTCCTAGTATGTTCATTTCACCCATCGTCGCAAGCCACGGCCAAAATGTACGATCCTCTCCCATGCAGCCTCCGAACCGTGGCTAAAGACGATGCATTTCACCGAATATCAGATACAAATGAACCATGCATCGGACATTTTACGACATTAATTACTTCTCTTTTACTTTTTCTAAAAGAACTCAATTGACATTTTTTTTGCAGAAATAGAAAACAAAAGTCTTAATTTTCAATGAAAATACAAGCGATCATTTTACGAGGGCCGTTCAAAAATTACGCGGACTGTGCTATTATTTATGACGTCTAGAAGTAAACTCAAATTATTTCTACAAACTTCAAGTTGATAACCCACGAGGCAAAGGCGCAAATTTTCAGATCTATATTCGCCAAACGAAGCTTGGAAACATAATGTTTTTTACTCTGTTTCTAATTATTTAAATTCATTTCAGAGGAACTCAGATGGGATTCTACTTCATACATGTATGTAAGTGGTAATCCAATTTGCACTAGTTCCCTTACTAAGAAAAACAATCTTCAAGTGCCAATTTTAACATATTTTAAGCATTTTCAACAACCAAATTGAATTTGAAATAACATACTTTCATTAGATTCCGAAACTAATTAATAATTTCTCTTTAATTCCTCAGTAAACAGTGATATCAACAAATCTCGTTAAATAAATTCAAGATATCGCAAAATGTATTGATTCTTACCTTTCATGCATGGTCTGCAATCATGGCGTGCACTACGCATTCTCGCCTCCCTGGTGCTCTGTTTTTTCTTTCAATTTGAAACGTAAAAGTGCATAAGGCTTCTTAATGAAGATGGATAACGTTTGAGTCTAGGGTAGGTTTTAAACTTTACTATGCACAGGACCAAATTGAATTTGAAATGCTCAGTACTGTGGCTTGAGACGTTGCATTTCACCGAATATCGAATGCAGATTAACCATGCATCGGACATTTCCTATGACAACAATCACTTTCCTTAAGCTTTTTCCTTTTTCATATAGAACCCAATTGCAACTGACAGCTTTTTTTTGCAGAAATAGAAACAAAACTCTTAAATTTATGAGCCTTTTCTGTTCAAGTACCATTTGTCCGATGCATGTGGAAAATCAAATCATGAATTCCGATTCATTTAGAAATACAACAAATATTTTTAGTGATCTTTTTTTTTTAAATAGCATAATATTGATTTTTATTTATAATAATTTATATTTTAATCTGAGACTACATTTTAAGTTCTATTTTGATATTATTAAGGCAGTAGCGGTATCGCTAGATCTTATTGAAGTACGAGAGTGTCCGATGCATGGTTTAAGTTAAAACCCTATTTTAAGAATTATTTTGGTAGGAAAGTTAGAAATCGTATACACCTTGCTGACTTCAGCAAGATGCCCCTTATTAAATCTTATTTCTAGTCATTTTCTTTAAAAAATTAATTCTAAATAAAAAAAAATAACATGAACAAATATCAAATAGCAACACTTTTTAAAATTTTCAATTGCTAAATAAATAAAATTCAAATGTCTGTTCATGATATACTGTTTTTGATATTTATAAGGACTAAGCATTTTTTACAAAAATTTTACTTTTATATATTAGCAATTACAACCATATCTTACATCTTTCTTTTCTCCTGTAAAATACAGAAGATCAACTAAAAGATTAAAAGAATTAAAAGTTTAATAGATTAATTCATAATCTTAAATTTAGATACAAAAGAACACGCCAAAAATCTACAAGTGTTGATATTTACCAATTGCTTCACTATTTTGATGCATTTCAAATTAATTATTAATTTTTGGAGTTATCCTTCCTAACTTTTCATAAATAAGGATATTCTGTTGAATCAGTACCCTATCTGTGACAAGAAAAGAAGAAATGTTGAACCAAACTAAAGAAAAAAAGCTCTATATCGTGTACACTATTTTAAGACAGGAACGAAGTAGTTAAGAAAAGTAATGTATACATTTCTAAAGGTTTACATATATCCCAGGTCAGATTGAAAATGAAAAAAAGTATCTCTGTAAGTACCCCTAAACTCAATAGAATTTTTATGAGTAGCGTGCCCCCAAACTCAAATTGGACACATTAATAATAAATACAATTTAGGGAACAACACAAATTAGAAGCACTATACATTATACATGTTTTGTGAAGTATATATAATGTACATAATACTAAGTAGTTGAAAAATGTTTTAAAGTTGTTTTTTTTAAACTGAATTCTTTACAATATCGATATCATTAATTTTAAAATTATCACATACGTATTGAAAATTCATTCGTAATCAATTTCTTACTTTAAAAAATTATACCTTACTTTATATAAAGCACTTTTTCATTATCCCCTGTACACTAATCGAAAGTGGAAAAATAATCGTACACTCATTTCATCAATTATTTCTTGAAAAGCTAGCTTCATCTGGCTTTCGAGGCGAATCTCTAGTTTTACTTACTTACTTACTAACAACATAGAATACTAATTACATAGAATAGCTATGTATGAGTTGCAAATCTTCATACATTATGTCTTTCCTTGTATTTTGTAGCTTTTTCAGAGAATAAATAAAAAATACTCTCATCTATGAATTTCAGATACTAGAGTATCTTAATCTCTGTTTACAAAATGGAAAATAAAATAAAATTTTAACATTGAGTAGCACGTGTAACTATTCAAAGGCAAGATTTTGCAGTAAATGATGTTTTCCCCTTTATATTGGAGGGACGTCACACACAGCTATGATTATAAACAAAACTACTGTTGCTATGAAGGTTACAATATTGAACAAATAAAAAAAGAAATAGTCTAGAAAAACAGAGACCTCCTTGCACTCGAATGGAAATTCGTCCTCTGTTGGGACTACTGGTGTGTTAGAGCGATATATATCATGCGCTTCAGTGATTTCCTTCCATCGTTGATTTCCTGAAGTTCCATTTCGTTCTTCACAGACAAGTTGTAACTTTGTGTCTTCCACCTTCTTGCTTTTGCAGTTAATTTGGAAAAAAGCAATGAATGTGAAACACTGAAGCCATTTTGGTACATCTGTTTGGTCAGTGTTGAGATAGAGAGGTTTAACACTGTGATGAATATACCTAGGGCGGCCATCATCAGTATTATGGATATGTAAATCCCTGTCCAAAACAAAACTTTAATAAGTATAATTCTAAAACGTATAAAATGCGCAAAATACTGGAATATTTTACATGAATAAAAATGTTTCCTGCAAGAAAGTTACACGTCCTATTGTACAAAATACATTGAATCCATATTGAAAACATACTTATAGTGAACATGTAGAAATCAGGTCATTTAAGGAATGAAGCTTATTTCAACTTTTGTTATATGATATAACATACCTTGGGGCAGTTTAAGCTTTATAAACCACGAAGGCAAGTTATGTTATATAAAATGGATTAAATCTTTTACCCAATCAAATGACATGTTACAAGTAAAATTAAATTATTTAATTTTGGAAGAAATGTAACAAAAATTACCTATGACCGCCGTGTGCTTTGATGTAGAAGGCATGCTATCTCCAACAAGAGTTAACAACACTGCCAACGCTAAAAGGACTGTCAAAATGTTGAAATCTTCTCTCCGAGTCCGTTTAGAGGAAACTTAGTTTGTAGCAGAGAAATCAGTATCACAGGGTATACAATGTTGGTCAGGTAATCCAAGATCATGGAAAACAATTTGGAACTCCAGCTTGGAAAATTTCTCACCGTTTTCTTCCAATACCCGCTCCTCTACTCGTGATGAGTAAAAGATCCACTCCCCGTTTTCGTTGAAATCCTGAATCGTGTCCCGGGTTTTGTTTAAAGTACCTCTGTTGTGAAGGCAAAGCTAGTGACTTCAATCTTACACATTTGGTAGTCGAATGGATAGTAAGTTCAATATCACAGTGGGTGTGTTTGTCGCACCTCTCCAGTATTTTTAGAAGAATAGTCATTGAAAATATTCAACTCTTAAAATTTTTGATACAAATTAGAATCACTTTCCTGATATTAAAAAATTAATGGTTATCAAAAAAACTCTATGATAAACGTATCTTTACCCTTTCAATCTTCAAATTTTTAACTTATGTAAATTTATCACCCATAAGTATTATATATTAGTTGATTCTAAGATTAAAGTTATGTATGAACAATTTTAAAGGAGGTAAATTATTGATAAACAAGTTGATGACACAAGAATACCAGCAATTTCGTTTAAAGTCATCAGTTCGTAATTTCTATGGTCAATGCATTTGTCAGCAAAAACAATTTATCATTGGAAATTGATAATACTTATTGTAGTCCATTATATTTTCAGGTTAAAAAATGCACACGGCGGGTGTGACCAGGCATTCATGAGAAATCGTCATGATTTTTATACTTTTCTTGCTCCTTTTTTGTATTGTATTTCCGGTATCATGTATTCTATAATACATATATTTAAAGGCTTTGATATCATTGCAAGACACCACTATATAATCACTTCTTATTTCATATCATGTCAGGAATTTTACAATGCAAGACATTTCCATAATAAAATATGGTTTGTTTAGATTAAATGAGAAATTAAACATACGAGTTGTCAATGATGTAGTTCTGGACGCCAGATTTTATTTTGTTTCGTGTAATGTCAACTTTTATAATACCTTTTCATAAGACTTCCAAAAATTGAATCTTATAAAGATCAAATAATAATGAATTCATTGTTGCATGAAAAAATTCATTTTCAAGCTTGCAAATTTTGAGTGCATTTCAAATTAATTATTAATTTTTGGAATATCCTTCCTATACTAAAAACTCGGATATCCTTAAGCTTAGAATGATATCAATTGACCTGAATTAGAAAATAAAAACATCATTGGATCGTATTTGTTGACTTGTTTCATATCAACTATATATACGTATTATGCCTTTGTTTTTAAAACAGAATTGACTATAGTATGATAATTATAATGAAGGTTTATATATTTATTTACATTCATCGTTATAGGCAACACATAGAATGTCTACATGTGTGCCAAATTATATTGAAATCAGACCAAAATTGTAGGAAGAGTAGCATTTTAAAGGAATTTCACAGAAATTACTTTGAGATTTTTTTTAACTGGATGTATGGCAGTTATATTGAAATAAGACAGTCACAGAGCTAGAATATTTTTAAGGTAGGATCTTTTTCTTTATCTTTGAAATAAATAGTGAATATTTCTATTTTGAAAAAGAACAGTTAGAAATCGTATACACCTTGCTGACTTGCTGTTCCTACTTAAATCTTGTTTCTGGGCATTTTCTAGAAAAAAAATAATTCTAAGTAAAAAAAAAATTAAAATTAACAAATATCAAATAGCGATACTTTTTTGAATTTTCAATGGCTAAATAAATGAAATTCAAATGTTTGTTTAGGACATACTGTTTTAGATATTTACGATGACTAAGCACTTTTTAAAATCGACTTTAATTTTTACTTTTATTTAATTCTGCTAGCAATCAAAACTATATCTTATATCTCTCCTTTCCCTTATAAATACAGAAAATCAAATAAAAGATTAATCTTAGATTTAAACTAAAAAATACCAGATAAAATCTACAAGTGTTGATGTTTATCGATTGCTTCATTTTCATAAATAATGATATTATATATGTTGACTTGGTACCCTCTCTGTGACAAATGAAATGAAAAGAAGCTGTAGAACCAAACTAAAGAAATAAAATCTCTATATCGTGTACACTATTTTAAGACAGGAACGAAGTAGTTAAGAAAAGTAATGCATACAATTCTAACGGTTTACATATATCCCAGGTCAGGTTGAAAATCATAAAATAGTATTTCTATTAGTACCCCTAAACTCAATAGAATTTTTTTAAGTACCGTGCCAAACTCAAATTGAACACATTAATAATTAATACGATTTAGGAAACAACACAAATTAGAAGCACTATACATTGTACATGTTTTTGTGAAGTATATACAATGTACATAATACTAAGTAGTTGAAAAATGTTTTAAAGTTTTTTTTAACTAAACTCTCTACAATATCGATATCATTAATTTTAAAATTATCACATACGTATTGAAAATTCATTCGTAATCAAGTTCTTACTTCAAAAATTTATACCTTGCTTTATATAAAGCACTTTTTCATTACCCCCTGTACACTAATCGAAAGTGGAAAAATAATCGTACACTCATTTCATCAATTACTTCTTGAAAAGCTAGCTTCATCTGGTGTGAAAGAAGGGACTTTTGAGGCGAATCTCTAGTTTTACTTATTTACTAATAACATAGAATACTAATTACATAGAATAGCTATGTATGAGTTGCAAATCTTCATACAGTACGTCTTTCCTTGTATTTTGTAGTTTTTTCAGAGAATAAATAAAAAACTCATTTATGAATTTCAGATACTAGAGTATCTTAATCTCTGTTTACAAAATGGAAAATAAAATAAAATTTTAACAATGAGTAGCATGTGTAACTATTCAAAGGCAAGATTTTGCAGTAAATGATGTTTTCCCCCTTTATAATGGAGGGACATCACACACAGCTATGATTATAAACAAAACTACTGTTGCTATGAAGGTTACAATATTGAACAAATAAAAAAAGAAATAGTCTAAAAAAACGGAGACCTCCTTGCACTCGAATGGAAATTCGTCCTCAAATTTGTTGGGACTGCTGGTGTGTTATTACATATTACGATGATTCATCATGCGCTTTAGTGATTTCCTTCCATCGTTGATCTCCTGAAGTTCCATTTCGTCATCTTCACAGACAAATTGATGTAACTTTGTGTCTTCCACCTTCTTGCTTTTGCAGTTAACTTTGAGAAGCACAGTGAATGTGAAACACTGAAGCCATTTTGGTACATCTGTTTGGTCAGTGTTGAGATAGAGACGGAGGTTTAACACTGTGATGAATATACCTAGGGCGGCCATCATCAGTATTATGGATATGTAAATCCCTGTCCAAAACAAAACTTTAATAAGTATCATTCTAAAACGTATAAAATGCGCAAAATACTGGAATATTTTACATGAATAAAAATGTTTCCTGCCAAAACGTTACACGTCTTATTGTACAAAATACATTGAATCCATATTGAAAACATACTTATAGTGAACATGTAGAAATCAGGTCATTTAAGGAATGAGGCTTATTTCCACTTTTGTTATTGCGATATAACATAACTTGGGACAGTTTAAGTTTTATAAACAGCGGAGTTATACGTTTTTAACGTAATATTGTGATGTAGGCAAGTTATGTTATACAAAATTGATTAAATCTTTTACCCAATCAAATGATGTGTTATAACTAAAATTAAATAATTTAATTTTGGAAGAAATGTAACAAAAATTACCTATGACCGCCGTGTGCTTTGATGTAGAAGGCATGCTATCTCCAACAAGAGTTAACAACACTGCCAACGCTAAAAGGACTGTCAAAATGTAGGAAATCTTCTCCCCGGAGTCCGTTGGTAAGAGGAAACTTAGGTTTGTCAGCAGAGAAATCAGTATCACAGGGTATACAATGTTGGTCAGGTAATACCCTGGGCGCCGCTGGAAAACAATTTGGAACTCAAGCTTGGAAAATTTCTCACCGTTTTCTTCCAATACCCGCTCCTCTACTCGTGATGAGTATAAGATCCACTCCCCGTTTTCGTTGAAATCCTCCGAATTGACCGTGTCCCGGGTTTTGTTTAGAGTCAGTACCTCTGTTGTAAAGGCAAAGCTAGTGACTTCGATCTTACACATTTGGTAGTCGAATGGATAGTAAGTGACGTCAATATCACAGTGGGTGACGTAAAGTCCCGGCGGGTCCCAACGCACCTCTCCAGTATTCTTTACTTTGAAGAATATGTCGTCATTGCCAATTGGGTCCATCCCTTCAACTCTTAAATTTTTTTATACAAATTAGAATCACTTTTCTGATATTAAAGACGTAAATGGTTATCTAACAACCAAACTCTATAATCACTGGGATGACTTTAACTTTTCAATCGTCAGCTTCCTTTACTTATGCAGCAATATACATTCATCATCTGCATACGGAGTTTATATCTCTCAGTTTATTCAATACGCAAGAGCATGTTCTATGTACGAATAATTTCTCAAACGAGGTAAATTATTGACAAACAAGTTGATGACACAGGAATACTAGCAATTTCGTGTAAAGTCATCAGTTCGTAATTTCTATGGTCAATGCAATGACCTTGTCAGCAAATACAATTTATCATTGAGTCAAATACCGACTGACGTTTTTCATACTTATTGTTAGTCCATTATTTATACACTGAATTGAAAAATCGTATTTTCCCATTATTTCCCGATAATGACAAGGAGCACACGGCGGGTGTGACCGGTCGGCAAAGGATGCTCACTTCTCCATGGGACCTGATCCCACCTCTGATGTTTTGGAGGTCCGTATTTGCTCTGCTCCTATTTCTGTATTGTTTTATGGACCTTGATATTGAATACTGTTCGTTATCTCCATATGTTTCATTCTAAAGACACATACTATGATACTGATTGCAGACAAAATTAGTTTCCTCTTTAGTTCTGTATATTCATAAACTGATCTTAGTGATTTCAAGACGGATCATGTCAGGAATTTGAACAACTTGCAAGACATTTCCATAATAAAATATGGTTTGTTTAGATTAAATGAGGAATTAAACATACGAGTTGTCAATGATGAGTTCTGGACGCCAGATTTTATTTTGTTTCGTGTAGATGTATTCAATATCCCCGTACGAGGACTTTGTCCATACCAGGCGAGGATCTTCCCATCTCTACAATTGATAGACTTTTCTGGGATAAATAAACCAACATAATATTTCTTTGTTTAATTCATATATTGCTGTGAATTATATGAAAAAATGCAGTGAGAACAAATCAAACGAAAGTACGTCAACTTATTGCAAATTATTGGCAAGTGCTTTAGAATTTTTGAACCCTTCTTTCAAAAAGCATTTGGTAATCTCTTGGACTGTTAAAATATCAATTAAAAACTAACTAGATAGATTTTATTGTTGTAAAGATATCAATTGACCATTTAGAAAATATAACATCATTGGATTGTATTTGTTGACTTGTTTCATATCAACTATATATACGTATTGTGCCTTTGTTTTTAAAACAGAATTGACGTATGATAATTATAATGAAGGTTTATATATATATATATATTTTTTTTTCTTTCAAAAAATGTAGAATATATTAAATTTGCCACAAAGCACCTAAGGTTTAATAAATACTTTGAGATTATTTTTTAACTGGATATATACCGACATTATACCTTTAAAAACATAAACAGAATTCACAGTTTGCTTATTACATGGAGATATTTTTCAAGGTAGGATCTTTTTCTTTATCTTTGAAATAAATAGTGAATATTTGTACTTTTGAAACTAAGAAAATCTTAGGCCGGTTTACACTATGCATCTTGACACATGCAACTCATTCTTCTATTTTGCCTCATGCATCTTCCTATTTACACTATGTGTCTTGATACATGCATCTTTAGAATACTTTGTAAAGATGAAATTTATCTACTTAAAAAAAAAATAACAATACCTTAAAATTTTATTTCCAGATTTATTTTAGCTGAACAAATCATTCTTAATTTCCTTTTTATGATAATTCTTCGAAGATATAATTTATATTCATTCCAAAACAAAAACCCCTGTATATTTTAATAATCAAATTAGTTTTTCTAATTGTAGTTTTAATCAGTATTTTCTGTTTTTGTGTATCTTGGAAGCTATTTTTGCAAATATATGGAGGAAAATAAGGCTTATGATTTAATCTCAACTCTGACCTTTCTTTTTATTGGTCAGTTCCATGCATCTTGAAGCATGGAATAGAACAAGTTCTATCGATCGTTCAAGATGCAACACCCATTTAATTTGACACAAAGGGTTATTATATTGTGAATCTTGACACATGCATACATGATGCATGTGTCAAGATGCATAGTGTAAACCGGCCTTAAATGCTTCTCTTTTTATGCAAGAAAAAACTTTGAGATTATGAAAAAATAACTTAGAACGTCTTTTTAATACGTACAACCGTCATCCATCCGGATGTGGACATAGTCTGACTTTTTATGTCCTACAAAGGAAAAATAAAAATCTCATTAAGATACAGAGAAACCACTTATCTTCGAGGTCTTATTATTTGAAGTTTGTTTAGAAATTGCTGATTCAAGGGGTTTCAATTTCCTGCTTGATAGAAAGATATGAAGCTTTATTTTGAAATTTTAGAGAATAAATTTTGCGTTTGTTCATACCTCAAAACAAAGGAACTCGAACCAATTCGATAATTAGCGATTTCACAATATCTCCTTATTAAAAACTATTTTCTATAAATGAAAATCTTACACATTTAAGAACGCACTTACATACTGAAAAAGTATTAAAATTATCTTTTTAAAAGTTTGGTAGATTTACCAGGTCATTTAAAGAGAATAGGACAAATTCAATGCTGATGTTTGTGGCGTCAGAAGGTCTCACGTGATTGTTATAAGAGCTACCAAGTACAGCATTATGAATGTTTGTGGCATGTGTAGTTGTAAAAGCCCCTGAAGAACCTACAAGCAAAATTTTCATAGATATGTATGAAACATACAGAAATGAGTAATTTCAAAAAGGAATATGCAAATATTTAATTGTTTTGGACATTACATCTTCCAACAATCTATTGGAATTCCAATGGATACCAATTAGCAGACCTATTTTTGTATTCATATGAAGCAGAATTAGTCCAAAATCTTCTGCGTGAAAAGAAGAAAAAATTTGCTGTGGTCTTGACATTTAGATATATCGACGACGTATTGTCAATTATTAACAATGATAATTGTGTCTTATGCCGATACGATATGTCCTGGTGAACTTGAGATAAAAGATACCACAGAGTCTAAGACGATCTGTTTCATGCTAGGATATTTTACTTGAAAAAGAAATTTGATGGTAATCTAACAACCAAACACTTTAAAAAGGTGATGACTTTAATTTTCAATCTTCCACTTCCCTTACTTATGCTTATGCAGCAATAAACTAGTACATGTACCTTCATCACCTGCATTTACACCACTTCTCAAATATATATATTTCAGTTGATTTGATACGCAAGAACATCTTTTACGTATGTACAATGCGACCGGTCAGCAGAGGATGCTCACTCCTCCATAGCACCGGATCCCACCTCTGATGTGTTAGAGGTTCGTGTTTGATCTGCTCCTATTTTGTATTGTTTTATGGATTTTTGATCTGGAATACTATTCCTTATCTCCATTTTTACTATATTTGGAAAAAGAACTGGCTTTACTAGTAATCAATTCAAAATTAATGTTAAAGGACCCAATACATATAATGATTTATATCTTTGAGAATAGCTTACCTTTGAGAATACAAAGGATATTAATCAAAAATATTAAAAAATCCATCCTTATATAGGCCACGTCAAGTAATACAATTATGCCAAATTAATAAATCTAGAAACAAGAGGTACGTGCCCGGGGAAACACTGACACAACGATTACCAAACAAAGAAGGGGGCCTCACGATTTATCAAGGTTGTATACAACTTACAAGAATATAAGACTTATTTATAAACTGTCAGTGAACTGGATCTTAAAAAGACACTCTCTGTTAAGAACAGGGTTTAAATCGTTATAATTGCTATTTAATTTCAATAGGCTACGTAGATATTGCATATTAAGTTTTTCCCGATACAAAAACACATGATTTTGTTATAGTTTTAAATCTATGGATCAGTGAATTAAAGGGACAGCCATTGAAAGATACACAAAGATGTTAGTTCTTTTGAAATGAAGGTTACAGGTGTATTTTCAAAAATGATCAAAGGAAAAAAAAACATCACAAAACATCGTTGCAAATGCATCTGCAGTATGAAAGTTGGAGTTCAAGTCAAAGTTCGTTCCTGTAGACATTATTCAAGATATTGCCGTAAAATATTTTAACTATCTTTAAATTTTGTTGAAATGACAATAATTATACTAAATTGATTCAAGATTGTCTTATAGGAATCAGCTTGTCCGTCTGTCTGTGCAAACGTGTCCGGTCCATATATTTCTTTTACGGAGGATCATTAGAATCTAGTACTTCACACAAAGATTGCTCAAGACCTAAGGTTGTGTCATGACTTTAACCCAAGTTCATTTGGGGAAGTTCAAGGTCACTGGAAGAAAAATTTCATAATTCGAGTCAGGTCCATATCTTTCTGATGGATAAACTTCCTAAGTTCCTATTTAACACAAAGATTCCTCATGACCTAAGGGTGCGTCATGACCTTGAACCAAGGTCATCTGTGCAAGTTCAAGTTCACTGAAAGAAAAATTTCATAATTCATGTTTGGTACACATCTTTCTTATGGAAAAAATTGAATATACTACTTCACAATAAGATGGCTTATGACCTGAGTGTGTTTTATAACCTTGAGCCACCCCAGGAAATTTCGAAGCTGCGAATTTAATTGGTGTATAGAGCACTTCCTGTTACTTCCAAACTTTTCATTTATAAAACAAATATTCAATGGTTAGACCTCGAGCATCTGAAATATAATCTTTCAATGTGTTCATGATTTTTTTTAAACCTTCAACTACAGCTCTGCTTACTGGTGAAGTAATTATTTCAAATAATGAAGACGTAAAATGACTTATTTTAAAAATATCAAAATATTAGGATGCCCCAATCTTTTACACGGTCATCATCGTGTACTGGTTTCAGTTGCGGAAGCAGGTATACGGACTTTGTCTTTGTTCTTATATTTAGGGGAGCTTTTTTTTTAGAATTATCACACCTATACACGATTCCTTAACAATCATTTTTTCCCAACAAAGACTCATATTAGGTTCAGTCAATGTTTAACAAACTTCTTTCTTTACTCCTCACTAAAATATTAACAGCAGTGTAGTAGAAACTTCAGAAGAACTGTACAACAATATCTTATAAAGAAATGTTGTAAATAATGTAAATACTTAAAAACTACAAAGATTTTAAATCACAAAATTTAACCAAATCAATATCATCAAAACGTACAGGTTTTAACACTCTACACAATCATTTCTATCAATACATTAAAATCCAGTCTCATTGACACAAAAAGAAAAGTGTTCTTTTTTTTAAAAAAAATGGAAAATTTTACATTTAGCTGGATATATGGTGTTTGTACTCCAGATGATTTGATATGTAAGGGTATGCTTAACGTACAATAATTATTAAAACGAGCCAAGCTTATTCACAAACAATTTGATAAAACAAGGATATCAATAAGTTCTATGGCCGATACAATGACATTTATCAGAAAATAAGAAAAATGTATCATTAAAATACTAGTATGTAAAATGCTGATGGACATGTATACTTATTGTTTATCCGTTATTTCTACACTGAATTGACAACAGATTTTCCCTTTAGTCTGCTTATGACAAAGAGCACACAGGGATGGGGATGTATTTGTGGGACATGAATGCTCTACGTTTGATAATTTCTAAAACGAGGTAATTTATTGACAAACAAGTTGATGAAACAAGAAAATCAGCAGTCTTATTTTACGTCAGAATTTCGTAAGTTCTATGGTCGATAAATTATGAGGTCATTATCTACATACTCATACAAAAATTGTCGACGGATTTTTTCGTTATTTCCTGATCATGACAAGAAGCACACAGCGTGTGTGACTGGTCGGCAGTGGATGCTCACTCCACCTGCTTCCATCTCTGATGACGTTTTGGGGGTCCTTGTTTGCTCTGCTCCCGATATGTATTGTTTTAGATGACTTGACCCCGAATACTGTTCATCATTTTCAACTTACATTCATATTTTTAAGATAGACATATATGTACTAACTTTTAGAACATAAGAAATCCAAATCCGTACCAGGTCCTACTTATTTGCCTGATTAGATGCATTTGTGAACAAACATAATGTGATAGGGATGTTCGTCCGTCCGTTTCTATACATGTGTCCATCCTTTACACTTTGAGATACCCATCTCCTCATCCGCAACCCCCTTTAAACCAACAGATTAAATTAAATGAGACTTGTACAGAATTTTTGTTTCATAGTGCAGTTGTGCATATTCTATTTTACTTTTTGATCGGAGACATATTTCGAGTTTCCCGAAGCAAAAGATGGACACTGGCATTCCCTCTATCTTGGAGTGATACTGCAACTCCCCTTATATACCACTTCTTATTACAAAATGCCATTGTGACCTCCTATTTTACTTTTTGATCTGAACTTTATGTCGGATCTCCAACACGGAATTGGCCGTTATAATTATATTGGAAGCGGAGATCTCAGTGCTCACAGTACCTCTAGTTTAATAAACATGCCTATTAAATTCTGATCCCTATTAGACCAAAAATTGAACTTTTTACCAAAAATCATTAACTCTTTGATTTAAAAAAAAATGGAAATTTTTTTTATGTTTTAACAAAAGCACATTTTTCTTCCATCAAAATTGATCTCCTTCGTTCAAGCTATAGACATACAGCTTTGTCATCGCCCTGAAACAAAACAGAAAAGAACTAAAGAATGGGAAGATAAGATTACTCAATTAATACAAAAAGAAATATAAATGAAAGAACTTTTACGTGAAATAAAATGTACCTTGAAATAATCCACAGCAAAATAGAAGAGCTTTCGTGGTCCAAACCAGCTATCATCATCTTCATCATCATCGTCAATATTATCGTTTTGACCGACATTCACATTCTACGAAAATTGTCAGGTTGTAATATAATTATATGAAATTTATTCTAATACTTATATTTTATACAATTTAAACAGATTTTCATAAGGACAACAAGCAAAGTGTTTAAATTTTTAATAGACACTTTCAGGTTCTTTCTTTTTATTTGCTTTTATGTAAGGCTTGTAACTTTTCTCTGGATCCTCTGCCTTGCTTATCTGACATTTCTCTTTGTCCTTTACTGCCATGCTCTTTTTCTGGATCCTCTACTGCTATCTGATTTTTATCTAGATCGTCTACTGCCATCTGACTTTTCTCCTGGTCATCCATAGCTATTTGACTTTCTCCTGGATCATCTATTGCCATCTCACTTTTCTCTTGGTCCTCCATTGCTATCTGACTTTTCACTGGGTCCTCTACTGCTATTTGACTTTTATCTGGATCTTCTACTGCTATTTGACTTTTCACTGGATCTTCTACTGCCATCTGAATTTTATCTGGGTCCTGTACTGCTATTCGACATTTCTCTGTGTAACCTACTACTATCTGTCCTTTATCTGCGTCCTCCATTATTATCTCATTTTTCACTGGGTCCTTTTCTGCTATCTGACTGGTATCTGGATCTCCTACTGCTATCTGACTTTTCACTGGGTTCTTTTCTGCTATCTGACTTTTATCGATCTACTGCTATCTGACTTTTATCTGGATCTTCTACTGCTATCTGTTTTTTTTTTACATGGGTCCTCCATTGCTATCTGACTTTTCACTTGTTTTCTTTTTTGACGTCTTTTTCTTCTTCTTGCTGAGTGTTTTATTGCTTTTATTTCTCCACCACTAAAATGTTAATAACGTTAAAAATGAGAAGCTTTTTTAAGATTAATATTCATTTCCTGTTCTAGAAATGCAACGCAGCATGAAAGGAATAAATAAAACATTTTTACATTTTCTTAAATTTTAAATCTGTATTTTAATATTTGAATATATCCTGATAGACTGTGTATTTAAATGAAATTTTGGAAACAGCCTTAACAGGGGATGTATGAAATAGCCTTAGGTTTTGTAGAATATTGTTTTATAAGCCATAATTTACGGAGTTTCTTCAGATCTTTTTCGCATATCTTTGGTGTACTTTAAATCCAATTATTGGATCACTGAGAGATACAAATCATTTCAGAGAACAAAATCATCTCATTTCATACACTCGTATTTAACATATTAGATAATATTCACATGTAAGAGAAGGTTACGTAATTACCTATAAGTATTCAACCGCTGGGTCTCCTGCTTCTGGGAGCTTGATCAATTCTACTTTTCTCATCTAATGCTATCTGGCTTTTCTCTGGGACCCCTCTCTTCTGTTATTTGACTTATCTCTGGGTCCTCTACTGCTATCTGACTTTTTACTAGGTCCTCTAAGCTATCTGACTTTTATCTGGTCCTTTACTGCAAACTGACTCTTCTGCTATCTGACTTTTCTTTGTGTCATCTACTGCTATCTGACTTTTCTCTGGGTCCTCTACTGTTATCTGACTTTTCTCTCTGGGTCCTACAGTTATCTGACTTTTCTCTGGGTTATCTACTGCTATCTGACTTTTCTCTGTATCCTCTACTGTTATCTGACTTTTCTCTGGATCCTCTACTGCAAACTGACTTTTCTCTATGGGACCTCTTCTGCTACTAGTATCTGACTTTTCACTGGGTCCTCTACTACTATCTGACTTTTCTCTTGGTCCTCCATTGCTATCTGACTTTCTCTGTATCCTCTACTTCATTGGCTTTTCTCTGTATCCTCTACTGCTTTCTGACTTTTCTCTGGGTCTTCTACTGCTATCTGACTTTTCTTTGTGTCATCTACTGCTATCTGACTTTTCTCTGGGTCCTCTACTGTTATCTGACTTTTCTCTGGGGTCCTACAGTTATCTGACTTTTCTCTGGGTCATCTACTGCTATCTGACTTTTCTCTGTATCCTCTATCCGTTATCTGACTTCTTCGGATCCTCTACTGCAAACTGACTTTTCTCTCGGGACCTCTTCTGCTACTGTAGATCACTTAATTTTCGCGACACATTATTTTCGCGAGATAGTCATTGTCTTTTGATTAGCGAGACAAAATTTTCACGAATTATGGTCATTGCTCTATATAATCTTAAGAAATTCTATTATACGAGCAAAGAAATTTTAGCGAGCAAGTTGTCGCGTTATTACGCGAAAATAAAGTTCCCGCGAATAAAAAGTGATTTACAGTATCTGACTTTTCACTGGGTCCTCTACTACTATCTGACTTTTCTCTTGGTCTTCTACTGCTATCTGACTTTTCTCTGGGTCCTCTACTTCTATCAGACTTTTCTCTGGATCCTCTACTGTTATCTGACATTTCTCTTTGTCCTCTACTGCTATCTGACATTTTACTGGTTCTTTTACTGCCATCTGACTTTTCTCTGGGTCCTTCACTCCTATCTGACTCTTCTCTGTAACAATTACTGCTCCCTCACTTCTCTTTGGGTCATGTACTGCTCTCTGATTTCTCTTGGATCCTCTACTGCTATTTGAATTTGATGCTTCTCATTTTCCTCGTTAAAAATACTTGTATCTCATTTTCCTTTCCTCTGTTAGTATATGTTTAGCAGTCTAAAGAATAAAGTTAGAAATTTATAGATATATATAAAAAAAATTATATCTTTTACCAATGTCATTTTAGGTTCTGTTTACTTGCATTTTCTTGGATTTTTTAGCACAATAAAACAAACTAATTTCATTTACATCTTGGATTATTTTATGGAAATTTTGATTGCTGCATGTGTGTAATTTTAAAAATATTAACTGCATATTGATAATTTTACCTCTTGTTTTACTTTTTGACTTCTTATTCTTCTTCTTGCTGAATGCCTTATTGCGTCTTTTTCTCCACCACTAAAATGTTTTAAAATTAAGTTAAAAAATGAGAAATTCTTTGTGTTTATTATTTTATTTCTTATCCTTTTGTGAAATTTTGGAAATGGGGATATGTCTGGAATAACCTAAGGTTTTGTAGAATATTGTTTTATAAGCCATCATGTACAGAGTTTCTTAAATCTTTTTCGCATATTTTTGTGTACTTTAAATCCAATTATTGGATCACTCAGAGATACAACTCATTTTTAGAGAAAAAGAATCATCTCATTTCATACAATATTTGACAGATAACGCACATATAAGAGAACATTAAGTTATTAACTATAATTATTTGACTTTTGTGCACTCCTGCTTCTGCTATCACATTTCTGCTTTTCTCATTGTAACTTATCTTTATTGATGCATTTGCTTCCTGCAAACAAAATATTGGTTTAAAAAAAATTAAAGTGATATATTATTCTTTATTTTATTTTAAAATTGTGACACTTTATGCATCATTTTAATTTTTATTTAGATGATGATTGCTCATAAAAAACCCAGAATCAAACAATGTCTCTGTCAGGTGAGAAAGTTTGAATCGCTGAGAAATACCTCAATTGTTTTCTTATCCTCCTCTTCAACACTCTTGGCCCAGGAATACTCGAATTTTAATATCTCAAGCTTTTCTTTCTGAAAGTAAGGAATAAATATATTAGGGGGAAAATATGTATAAACGAGAATTATATTTGTTTTACGCAAAGATTTGGTGGATTTTGAATGAGAAAAAAAAATCGCTGTCTACATTCTGTTAATGAAAGATTAAACCCAAATTGAACTTACCCAGTTTCCATCAGGTTCATTTCCAAAATTCAAAATAGTATTTTCTCTACAAAGAGAATTCAATGCTTTAATTAGCTATTGAAATGTGCTTGTGTTAAGCAGATTCAGAGATATTTTTGTAGTGACAACAGTACCTGCTTTTGTCATTGTTTGTGTCTCTTCTCTTCTCCTCTGCAATTTCTTCATTCATCAATTTAGCAATTTCCTCCAGGTGTTTTGGGACCTAATATTCAAAGTATATACATAAATTACGTGATCACAGTTATTTGATTGGTCGAGATTAATTATTTTTACAAATAAATAGAAAATATATTCCCAAGAGTACTATTTTTTTTATTAACAA